AAAGACGACAAAGTGTATCCTTCAAATTTTATCTGCGGCTTTCACGGCACGAAGTAATCGATTGATTTTTTATAAGAAAATGACGAAACATAAAAGCAACGCTATTAGAGTTTTGTAAGCTAGATGATAGGAATTTAGTTTGAGCAAGATTTCTACGATTTTCTTTGCACAGCTATCTGTCAAGGGTCGACCCCTTAATAAATTATCTTTCTAACTTTGTCCGTGTTAAGTACTTAAAACATAATTTGGCAATTCAACTATAAGAGGATTCGATAGGCAGACAATGTAGTTGGTGGTTGAAAATTTAAGAAAAATCTAATCTCTAGATGTATCAAATCGTGATGGTATCAAACCATGACATATACAAAAACATCAAAATCGGTTAAGCAGTGTAGAAGAAGAATTACGAATACATCAACAATTTATATATAAAGATAAATATTACATAAAACACTTATCCATCCGTTTGAGGTGGTTCATGGTTATGATATGACTTAACAGACACTATTTCGTCTTCAATTGTTATTACAGCAGCTTTACATCCACGTCTATTGTGCGTAGAGCATCTCCAATAGGTCTTTGTCCCAGATTTGGCTTCGTAGTAGGTATAGCCTTGTAATTTTATTAAGCGTTTTCCTTTGTTGGACGTCACAAATACTGCTGTTAAAAATATATATAGATTAGAATTAGAAACTTTATTCATTCATACATTTGTTTTTTTAATATTATTATCGACCCGTCCTGCTTCATTTTCCCTTTCTTTAGATCGTTTATAAGTGTTTTTTACAAAGTCCAGGATTTAAGAACTACTTAAAAATACTAATACCGCAAGTATTAAACAGTACTTCATGCGTGTAAAATTTCATCATAGCTGTGGAAAGGACCCCGTTTAATACCAAGACCGTCATATAAAAGTATCTGCCAAGGAAATGGACACGACAGACACTATGCTCATTAGAACGTATCAACATTATATAATATCTTCATTACGCGGAAAATGGTGTATTGCCTTTTCTTCTGAGAGTGACACGCTGGGCCTAATATTGTCAACGCTCGAACCAATTTTGTCAACAGGTAGTGCAAACGTGAACTCGTCAGTTTGCTGACTGACATACCGCTCGAACATGTAGTAATATCAATAAGAATGAAATCTTAAAAATACTTATTACATAAATTTTAAAAATAATAATGAAAACGATAAAAGTAAAAAGAAATTAATGAAAATACATGTTATAAAGTAGAAGATGAAACCAAAAATAAAATAAATAAACTTATTATATTAATAAGATCAACATAAGTAAAATAATGTAATATGACGACACGTTTGGCTCAGTTTTTAGTGACCTTACTTGCTGTGCCAGCGGTCACGGGTTCGAGTATCGCTGGGGGTATATATTTGTGTGATGAGCACGAATGTTTGTACTCCAGTCATGGGTGTTTATATTTATAATATGTATTTATTTAAAGTTATATGTACGTAGTGTATCAACTATTTGGTATCCATAACACAAGCCTCGTAGCTTACTACTGTACTAGATGGTACTGTGTGTTAATGTAAAAAAAAATATTTATCACATAAGTAAAATATTTATACTTTGTAGTTTATTTTTTATTTTAGTGAAGTTTTAGTTATGTTTAATATATAAAAATATAATATCGTTGTATAACTGAGTGTAAAACGTTAAACATGAAATAGTACACCTGAACACGGCAGTCTGAGAAAGGACAGTTAATGGGAAATGGCTGCGTGTGGCAAAGAGATAAAACACTGTCCACATCTAATTGTCATTAACAGTTCTTTGTTAACGTCATGGATATATGAAACATAGATACATCTAACACCTCAGTCTCTTCCGTGACCATGATTGCTGTGAAGCATTCGAAACGTCGGGAACCAAAAATCAAAAAAAAAAATCCGCGAAAAAGTCCGAAAAGATAGTTTTATTTAAAATATATACACATTTACAAATAGCTCTTTAAAAAGTGGCGTCATCGTGAGACGTTAAGTCAAACGAAAAACAATGTCATGATATTATCCTTACACCCCAATTGTCAGGCGAATTAAAGGCAGCAAATATTATTTATAATCTATTTTGTCCGTCCGTATGTTAATTAATTGTATTGACTTGTATACGTGTACTTATTATTATTAAGGAACTTTGTATATTGCAATAATGGTAAAGCTTTGTGAAAATCTTAAGATAATTTATATTTAAATTAAATTAAAATTGGGTTATAAAAGGCAAGGAAGAAATTTCTATTTTGCAAACTACGAAATAACAATTTTATTTATTTATTTTTTGGGAAACAGACAGTGAAATAATTTTTATATATAATTACAATCTAATACATTCACACACTAGCAAAGTTTCCACCAATATATGTGTGTATATATTATATATATCAGATTTATGTCACGTCATTAATGTTACGTTTTGCGTAACACAGGTTCATGACTATGTGACCCCGATATCTTCAATATAGTATTATCAATAGTTCTTAAAGATGCTTTACACCCCCTAGCATGGTGAGAAGAACAGTACCATCGTACTGGTCTAAACTTCCCTTCCCCGTAAGGCCGAGACGAGTAAGTGTACCCTTTTAATTTTATCTGCGGCTTTCCACGACACGAAGTAATAAATTGTGGACCTGTAAATAAAAAAAAACCTTAGGTACCTAAGAATTGCTGTTGTATAATTATAACAATAAAATTATGAAATCATAATCAATAATAGTAACTGATTTAATTAAAAAAAAAAATAGATAAATAAAATTATTTTTGTATGTAATATAATTTATACATTAATTTGCATTGTTACGACAGATTATAATATGGAGACAGTAAAAAATACGTACATACAATATATTCTTATATAAATAAATTTTGGCTTTAAATATTGTATATTAGACATTTGGTATTTCTATTTTTATGCAATAGTAGCTAAATTTAATAATAAAAATATAATTTGAAATATTTAATCATTACACTAGCCTTATACTCGTTTACCTGCATTTTTTGTATTCTTCTCATCTTATAGGCTTGCATTGTGGGTGAAATAAATCTATAATTTATTATAATGACAACTTTTTTTATAAGCTGCTTTTTTATAAGTTGGCGAGTATCTAATCAAAGTATGTAGTTTTTAAATGGAATTATTATTTTATGAATATTTAATAATAATAAAAAGTTATATTTATTTTCTTCCAGCCATCATATTGCTCGTAATATGGAATATCGTTGAGTTCCTAATATGGAATACTATATTATTACGCTTTATTTTAATATTTCTCTCTTTTACAGATATATTTATGATCAACATGGATCCCCCAGTAAAAAACGAAAAACCTGGAACAAAACCAATATGAAAAATACTATTCAAGACGTGAAAACGCAAAAAATGGTTTATAAGTGAGCTGCACAAGTCTTTAATGTACCTCTGACCATCTTCCGGTTTTGCCATACCCACGAACTAAATATACACTGCCGCCTTGGTCGTAAAATTAGATAGCTTGTCGTCACAACAGCACAAGCAACAAAAACAAAGTGTTCCCGATTCACAGCCATCAACGAGAGGCTGTTAGAAAAACCAGCCAAAGAAGAAATCAGTGTTGAAGTCTGAATCATCTTCTAATAGAGATACCATATATTTATCTAATGATTAAAGAGACGATAAACTTTCAGTTATTCAACCGAACGATCCAAATGCCTGAGTGCATGTATTGCTCTGTTTTTTTCAGTAAGGACAAAAAGGGAGAAGAGTGGATTCAGTGCATTGCTTGTACACAATGGTATCACGTTGCGTGTTCCGGAGCAGAATATGCAGATTTTTTAAGTGATTTTTGCTTGCGGGGTTGATTTTATTATTTTGTTTTGATTAACGAGACGTGAACCTATTGTGGAATACCCTATTCCATAATAGGATCACATTTTTGAGAAGCATATTTTTGGTTGATTTCTTTTAGATAATAATATTACGGAAAGTGTTTATTATTTGTTGATTTAATTATTACTTTTCAAGAGTGATTACGACTGCATTTAATTGTAACCCATTAGACTGATTAAAATAAAACTTTTGTACTGATTTTTTTCAGAATTTGTTTATGTATTCCATATTCGGTCCTTTCCCTTTCCTTTTATGTGTATATTTCTATACACATAAAAGGAAAGGGATATATTCCTAGCCGATTCCGGCCACGGCGGCCAAATTTCAATGAGATTTACCAACTGCGCAGGAGATATTATAGTGCTCAAGTGTACGCGCAGACACAAGTGCACTCTCTATTCCTACCACTCTCATACTCCGGTGGGACGACCATTCGACACGACCGGTGAGAGTTAAGGCGCAGGACCGACGGCTTTACGTGCTCTCCGAGGCACGGGAGTGAAACACCGCCAACTTCCCAACTCCGGGCTGTTACTGAGACTTACTATACAGGAAGACTCAATAACTAAACTTGGCCCGACCCGGGACTCGAACCCAGGACCTCCGAGTGTGCAGCCGTACATGCTAGCCACTACATCACCGAGGTAGTTATATAGTATGGTATAGTAGTGTATATATATATATATATATATATATATATATATATATATATACGCACATAAGACGGATGCTATAAGGTACGTACGTAAACTCAATCATGAGACGATTATATCGTGCTTTGAAAAAAACTGCGAGTTCGCTGGACCGAAGATGAAATCGCGGGCGAGTTACACATGTCCCATCATCGGATGGTTTGACGCAGGGGCGGATTGTTAATTTGGGGGGCCCTGGGCTAACACTTCTTGGGGGCCTTAACTGTCATTTTGTCTTCATAAAATCTATAATGATAGATGATGGTAGATGAAAGTAAGATAATGCTATTGTTTTATGCTTAATTGATCTTACCGTCTTAATTGTTTTTTAATTTACAATATCATCGATTGTTCTCAACAGGGGGGGGCCGTTATTTCCAGGAACCTTGGACTGAAGCCCAAAAAGATAGAAAGGTAGTCATTAAAAGGACAGGTGAATGAAAGTAATAGGTGCAAGACTTTTATATAAAATTATCCTGCTCTTGTCATCGAAGGGATACCTCAGGCCCTTCTCAATATCTTGGAGCAGGATGAGTATGTTCTGTGTTCGCAAGCACGACGACATCGTCCACAGTGAACAAAGCTGCTCTGCACCCTTTTGCGTGGTGTGTGGAACAATACCACTTCTTCTTCCCAAGCGGTCCATCTCTTCGATTAGATGTTATACGTGTAGAATACTTAAAGCCTTCGAATTTAATTTGACGATGTCCACGGTTTGATAGCGTGAATTGAGCTGTTGGTGATAAAATAATCAGTTTTGTACATTTTTAATGTTTTATTTGAATTTTTTTATTAGCATACTTCTTTACATTCGTACAATATTACTCAGAGATTGTTCAATGAAGTCGTATCCTAATAACTTTTCTTCATTTTCATTTCAAACATGATCATACTCAAGGTATATTTATTTTTTTACGATTGGCGAATTTAACGGTTAACATAGACACAAATATTTTTATCGTTACCAAAGTACATATACTTACTACGTTACTGTAATATAAATATGATTTTAATTAACATTAAACTAATTTTTCACAATTATATTTTATTTATTACACTACATAAAATTATGACACTTTGGTAACTTTAATATTATAATTAAAAATATCAATTAAATATTGCTAATAATCGTTTGTTATAGAGAATATATATATTGTATTTGTAAAAATTAAACTTAATTTGAATTCATAAAGTAAAATTGTGTCACATAAAATAACAAAGACCCTACAAAATTTGTAAGACTAAATCGTTTACCATAAAGTTTAATGTGCAGAAAAACTTATAGGATTTTTGCGCTACAAAAGGTAGTGTAATAACAATTTTGAAATATGTCGTTTACATTTATACTCTGATGAAAAATCCAAATTTGTGATCTCGAAATTTTGTTTTTTAACCGACTTCCAAAACGGAGAAGGAATCTTTTTATGTATTCACCGATTACTCGAAGACGCCTGAATCGACTTGGAAATATTTTTTTCTAAGGGTATACTTCTCATAGGTGGTCCCATTTAAATTTTATCGATGTCGTTCGAGCCGTTTTTAAAAAAATCAACAATACATTTTTTTTATTAAATAAATTGCTTAATCGAATATGTTATTAAAAAACTTTCTTCTTACAAATTACCTGCTTATTATATCCACACTAAGAATGGAAAAATAAAAACTAAAAAAAAAAGAAAAACCGACTTCCAGGGCCGGCTGACACCGACTTCGAAAATAGACTGTATAGGTAATCCTAAATGAAAACTTTAGTTATTTTTTACATTTTAGTGTCTGGAACTCGGTTTTTTTAAGTTTTTATTTCAACTTTGCATTGAACGTTTTTAGTCGTAGGATCAACCGTTGATATGTTATATTGAAAAAAAAACAGATTTTGGCACCTTTCATCTAAGATAGAGCCCGGGCGACCACTCCTCGAAGTCATAAACTTGGATTTTTCATCAGAGTACAAGCCTAAACGACGTATTTCAAAATTATTACTGCACCACCTTATGGTCTTTTTTGTATCCCTACTGACTAGACTACATATTAACATCAAGGTAATAATTACGAGAAAAGTTTAAATCCTTCGGTATTGGCCTTGTGGTACACCATGGTTGTGAACGTTCCGTGTCATGACAACCTTGTTGTCGATAGTAACAATTGTTGCTAAACATTTCCTGGAGTGATGTGTCGAACAAAACCAACGTTTCTTAGCTGACGAGTTCTCATGGATAGCGGTTCTCGTAGAGTATGTGTAGCCATTCAGACTTATCTGAGGATTGCCTCGCTTTGACATTATGAATACTGCATCTGTTTAAGAAAAAAAAGAAAGTTATATTATATTACAGATGAACACACAATATTTGACATGTACGTATGTTATTTTATTTATATTTCCCATCCCATCCTCGTCGCCACTGTTATGTATGCTGACGGGGACGAATGAAATGCTTGGTAGAATAATACGCACTGTTAAGTTGCTCGATAAGCATCGCGTTGTGGGCGCAGCCAGTAATTACATTTTTTTAGATTTACCCATCACATAAATATATAACAATGATATATTATCAGAAACCACTTTATATATCAGGATAAAAGAAATAAATTTTAAGATTATATATGTAGTTCCAGGGTCTTGGAGTTTAAAACAGAAACACAAGATCTATCTTATTAATAATGACAGTATTATTTTCCTTAAAATTTATTACACATATTTCGAATATATGGGTGTAAGAAAAATAAGTTTTTAGTATTTTAAGCCGTCGCAAATTTATTATTTATTTTTGCATTAAAGTATACATTTTTTAATGGTTATGTTCGCTGGCACAAGAATACACGACATCATCAATAGTGTACACTGCTGCTTTACAGCCTCTAGTGCGGGATCTGCAATGCCAACGGGTCTTCAAAATACTATCATTAATTTTCCTTGTAAATTGGACTGTGTAGATATAATTATCATATTTTAAATATCGACTCCCTCGAGGTCCTTGGTAAAAAATCGAGCCTATAATTAGAATATAAAAACTAGTAAGTGTCTCAAAATTTGAAAATATTAACTTCTTACTTAATCACAAAAAAATGACATTTTTTTATTCTATGTCGCGTTCAGATCGGTCATACTTAAACGATCAATTTCGTGTCGTTTCGGTCCGCGTCGGAGTGCCGTCAGGGTATCGTAGTTGAGTGCGTAAATAATCCATTTAGACAAGATTCTAACCCGTCAGTTACCAAATTACCACGTTCTATAGGTGGTAAGACCAAAATCACAACTATTAAAAATACAACAGTTGACACTACTTATATTCTACAGTGCACCACGATTTTTTAATGATTAATTACAAGCTAAAACTTACATGAGTAGCTTCGTTTTGACGAGACGCTCAATTTTTGTTTCTTCGAAAATATGATAGTGGTAGATACAGTTGGGGATTGATTCAGAACAAGTCAAAATGGTGATTGTCTAAAATTTATTACTAACAGGTTGTTTTATGATTTAATCTTGAGATAATCCAATATAAAATAAGAAAAAAAAATTGTCCTACAAAACAGATGGTTTGGATCAAATCACCTCCTTTCCAAACTTGTTAAAATAACAACGTCATAAAATTAATAATAATCGGCTGATTTTCGTAGTATTTATTATTAAAAATATGCATAATTGAATGATCAAGTCGTCCTACAAATAAAATGAATCGTTTTCTCACTCCTACGCTCCGATACTGTCTCCCACACGGTGAAAAATGTTAAAAAATTATTACATACTACGTAATTACAGAAAATAAATTTATGCACTTAAATTCTTTTAAGATTTAAATCAAACACATGAATTATAAATATATCTTTAATTAGGTACAGTTGTTAAAATTGTCTAAAACCCATATCTTACTAACATATATGTATGTATATAGGTTATTGTATACATTATACATATACGCAAAAGTGGCCTTAAATTACAGTAATAAAGTATATATTTTTTTAGCACAATCCCTATTACCGTAGACACTATATGTAATATTATTGCAGTGACATAGACCTTGTCCCTTTAGAAACTAACACTTTATTTTTTAACTTCAGAGCAACTACGAAACCCAACAATCTTTCTGTCTTCCTTACTTGAGATAGAAATGACATTAAATAATGCAACTTATGAAAAATTCTTACCATTAGTAAGAATATTAAAGCTTACTGCGATTCACCGTAAAAGAATGAGATAGATACATATATAGAACAGCAAATGAAACCAAAAGAAACAGTCAATGACATAAGGAAAATATCTAATACGAGTAATCATTACTACTTTTCTGATAAAGTTTTTGAATGAAGTCGAAAAATATTATTTTGTTTACATTTCTCTTGTGCAATAGCACCTACTGCTTATACAGATGCCGCAATAGTGTTATAAACAATTAATATAATACTATTTCAGGTTACAGTCATTCTCTTTCACGCGCTCCTTCTATCTATTCCTTTAGTCTATAAGTTTATCTTACTAGAACATTACTTAATAATAAACTAAATTTCTTAATGATTATGTTCATTATTACAATGGTATATAACATCGTTAATGGTATAAGCAGCCGCTTTGCATCCTTTTGTCCTGCCGCGACAGTACCACCGCGTCTTGACGCTATTACTGCCCATGTCCTTAGTAAACTGTATAGTGTAGACGTAATCGTTGACCTTCATATATCTTATTCCTCGCGGACTAACATAGAAGAATATTTTATCTTCACCTGAAATATAAAATAAAGGATTAAATTTGAAATAAGTACCTATGAATTTAATGTTGGGTATAAAAGTAAAATTAACTTCGATTTTACTTTTATATTCAACTTTATACTAAAGTATTGCAAAGTGAATCATTTCTAACATGATTACCATTTGCCTTACGGTGAAGGAAAACATCGTGAGAAAACCTGCATGCCGCACTTGGCCAGCGTGGTGGACTATGACCTGATCCCCCTCGTATTGAAGGGAGGCCCGTGCCCAGCAGTGGGACGTTAAAAATGACTAAATACATGGCAAACGAAACACATAACCCGTCAGATGATTACATACCATATGTAGCGTAGTTTTTGTGCTCATGGTGATATTTATATATAGGTATATATTCCTGCTCATCTGAGCAAGAATCTATATATAAATAGACAAAGACAAAACAACACAGTCAATTTGTCAAACGATTTTTTTTGTTTAGTGGCTATAGAAAAGCTCTAGTGCTGTCAATAAAAAAATCGAAAGATTTTTTTTAAATGATGAAGGGATGGACTTCTACCACTGGGCCAACAAATAGTATATATGTACATAATCATATAATAGAGTACTACCTAACCAGAAATACCTACTAGTTATGTGTTCGTTAAAATAAAAAAATAAAAACTTTAACTTGTTATACATATTTCAGTTTATTATCAGGTCAAATTGAAATAAAATTGAAATGAAATAAAATTTATTTATTTAGTAACTATACTACCTACATAAATTATACAAATTTTAAATGGATCTTTTATTATATTTCCTCCATATTAGGTACTCATACAAATGTTTTAAAATTACAATACGATAATATAATTACTATTTGACTCAGTCATTTGATACAAATATGGCAATCCTTCAAATAACAAATACATATAGTCCAATCGGAATCCGGTTTGGGAACAA